CAGGTAGTGCATATTGCTGTTGCTACCAACAGGTGGCACTGTACAGGATCCACAGCTAAATCCACCTATTTGGTAGCAAGCAACAGGAGAGCACACAAAACAATAATAAAATAATACAAGCACTGACCCTATAATGGGCACAGGGTGACTTAGACATAGGCGTAGTCCAGGGTCCTACATAAAGTGTCCGTATGAAAGCCCAGGTGATGGTGACTGCAGTCACAACTTTCTTAGAAAAACACTATTAAAATACCATATTATAATGCACACTTGGCTAATGTAGGCTCCATCATTTGATATAATATAAACATTCAGTCTCATAAACAAGACATTCACAAGCCAAAATTCCGTAACTCTGGATGAAATCTAATACTCATTGTACTGGTAAGTATATGCTAATAAGGATGTTCAGTCCCTACTAACACAATAGTTTAGTTCTATCATATTGGAGCATGTGGCGAAAGTGACCTCGCCACTGGTTTTTTGAGGGGCCTGTTTGCCAGCCTCCTGCCCTGCGACTATGGCTCTGGAAAGTTTTGCCCTTCTTGGGAACTTATTTGGGGCTTATTGACTTGTATTGGACTGTATATGGCCATTTAAAGACTGTATTTGGGCATAATGGATTTTTATTGTGCTGTTTCTGGCCCTTTAAGTACTTTGGGAAAGGACCTGCAGTTTTGGCACGCACTTCGGATGCTGTCGAAGTGGCCGCCATTAGAAAACCGAACACGTGGCCGCAGCCATTTTGATTCATTCGAATATGATTAGCGGTGTGTGCCGTCAAACTCATGAAAATAAAATCGGCTACAGAACGGCACAAACACCGCTGAAGTTTTACCTTCCCTGGAACTAATGCATTTGACAGTTCGACAATTCAAATAGTTGTTGTTCGTCTGTTTGAACTGACTCTAACATGGGAAATAGACCGGCCGCACAGCCTGATTCTCTGGAACTGTTTTGGGCATGAAAATGTGCTTGTGGTCGGTCATAAAAGGACTTCCAGCTAACTTTTTAACCCCTGGATAGAATTGGCTGAATTTTGACTATGTTTATAATTAAAGTGTGTTGAATAATATGTCATTTTTATGAAGATTGAATGTATATTTTAAAAGTTACAGTACATGTGTAAAAACTGTATTTCTCTGCCTGTGATAATTACATTAACCCATTGTGTAAGGTGATTATAGGCAGAGGGGAGGATTTTGTGTGGGAGTATCTGAGTGTATTGTACGTATTGATTGGTTGTACTTCAAAACCCTGTGGGCAGTACTATGGTTG